ATCATAATAATCGCCATATTTATTGCTATGCTTAAGAGATAAATTATCGAATTGCTTCAATGTGGTATAAATAACAATATTTCGTTTTTCTTCTAGATCATCGGGTAAAATAGAAATTGGAAGACGAGAATTGAGAGATGCATTTTTGTCTATAGGTAATATGCGTACCTCTGTTTTGTTTTTGTTATCTACAATTTGGGTGGGTTCAGAAGTTTCAGAGTTTATCCAAGGATTGAGTCCAGTTTTATTCTTATATCTTTTATATAATCTAGAATGAATTTTACCTGTCAAAATGCTTGGCAATTCTGTTAATTTAGCTTCCCACTCCAAATATTCGGGAGTTAATGTTTTATTTAATTTTGTATTTATATTCATGTTATCATTTTATATAATTGCATATCTCTTTAAATTAATAATAGCTAACAAAAAATAAATATGTCTCAGAGAGACATCCTAAAGAATTAAATGAATTGTATGCTGTTACCTCAATTTCAATTCCATGTTCACATTTAATATAATAGGATCCAACTTCATATCTGCCTCCTATACCATTATCATCATCATGATCTAATTTGCATAACGGGCATAAAGATTCATCAGTAATTCCATAATAATCGTCGTTTCCGTCACTACCTTCTCGACATAAAGTAGTATATTGCTCTAATGTTTTATTATGGAAATAAACATGATCATGAGTTGGATTACATATTTTAGTCTCCAGTAAAGATTTAACTTCCTTGCTTATCTCTGTTTTATTTTTGTTACCTAAATCATCATCCTCGTCTTCATTATCAGAGGATTCCGAGTTAGAATCTGAAAAGCCATCAAATTCTGGTGATTCAGTAGGTATATTGTCCTCAGTCCCTGGTAAACATTCGTCATTCTCATTTACTATATCATCCGAATTAGAGATACGAGATGATTGAATAGAGGGAATGGTAGAGATGCTTATCTCTTGTAATGTTTTCCTAGATTCAGGTAAAATTTTGGTCACATGATTTTGGCGATGGGCCGTCGTCGAAATTTCAGTCATGTGATTTGATGGAACATAATCTCGAATCTTTTCTGTATTAGAAATATTATCAATAATCTTTTGAATTTGTTCATTGGTCAATTCAGAAATAGAATTTGCACTATATGCTTTAAGGTATTTAATTTTATCTATACCTATTTTTTCGAATAGTTTATAAGTCTTTATGGCCCTTTGAGTCTTTTTATATAAGGTTTTACGAGAAGTTTCTGGAAGTTGTATTTCTATCTCCTTGGACTTTTTTTTATGGATAATAATGAGATGTTCTAATATTTTATCATAAATTATACCTTTAGCTTTTTTCTTACCGATTTTTCTATTACTATTTTTCATAAGATCGTTGTACTGAATTACAAATTCTTTCCCGTAAGTAATCCAGCATAAGGTTTCTTCCTGGTTAGCTTTCATAGTATAATGTTCAGCATCGGTTGCCTTATCAAATAATTGTGCTAAATCAAGTAACAAGACTGTAGATGAATTTTGGCGAAGGGACGTCGCTGAAATTTCAATCACATGATTTGAATCCGAAAGAATATTATCAATATTATCAGCGGAACCGTACACAAGTGTATCCTGAATGGCATCAGCTATCACTTGAGTGATATTCTCTGTTTCTTTTTCTTGTGCAATTTGCCCTGGCTTTTATTTTGATTTTGATCCCAAAGCTCTTTCACAGGTTTCAAGTCCAAAGATTTAGGTGTCGACATGGTTGATGTTTCTGATTGTATCGGTGGAGTTAAGTTATTATGTGATTCTTGAAGTTTTTTTTCCCAGTTCCTCTTTCTTATCTCACTACTAATCTTTTCCTTATGTATTGTTTCTACAAAATCTAGAATCTCAACTGAATCGTCATCAATAATATTTTGTGGTAAAGAGGTTGTAGATGTTTCAGGCTCTGGCTCACGCCGAAACTTTGTCTCTTCAGATTGGGTCGAGCTATGTTCTATTTCTGGAGAATGGCTCTCGGTTAGCGGTGAAATATCTTTTGTAGATGCTTTCCGTTTATTAGTAATAGCCTGGATCTGTTTCTGTTCCAATTTCATGATTCTATCTTTAAGCACAGTATTTTCTTCTACTATCTGTCCCAATTTGGCGATCCTGGCCTTGAGCTCAGTATTTTTAGCTTCTTGCTTGGCATTCTCTTCTGTAACCTGTTTTGTCAGTTTAGCATTCTTTGCCTCAAGCTTAGTCTTTTTAGCCTCAAGCTCAGAAATTCATTGTCTCAATGAATCAATCTCATATTGCATGTTTTAGTAATAGATTGTAAATACCCGATTATTTATTTAAAATACATAACTAATGTAACAAAAATTTCGGTGACGGGCTATTGTCAAAAAAAATATGAATTAAATATGTTTATCACGAGGTATCAAAAGAAAATAAAAACATTGCAGATCATACAATTAATAAATTTATATGATCGTGCAATACTTTATTGATTTTTTATTACACACAATAAGCTATTTTATAGTAAGATTCACTTTTGCCTAATTATTCATGTCAATAAGTAATCAAGATGTTGATTAAAGAATGTTATTTAGAATACAAAGTAAATGTCAAACGTACCGCTAATCAATAATTCAATAATTATATTACAAGAACACTAAATCTAAAACCTAATCTACACACAATTTCTATCAAGTTGGCCATCTTCAATCAGAGTTCAATTGGTGAGGATATCTAGAATGTCCCGATAGGGAGGTGAAGGCGGATCATCATAATCAGAATCATCATGATCATGGTGCATATGATGCTCCACTGGATTTATGATACGTGATTTTTTTCCCGTAGGTTTTTGTGGCGAACTCTTAGTATCACCAATATAATTTTTTAATGCTATAGATTGAAAGCGTAAAAGTGTATTTCGACGATGTGGCCTTTTGAATTCCTCAAGTACTTTGAGAGTATCATCTAAGCCTCTCTGTATGAAAAGAATAATGATCAAAACGAGATATTTCAATACTTCAATACAAAGGAATAAAGATCTTTCTTACTCTAAAATTTTGCAAAACCCTTAGTGCGTGCACCAGTTTATGATGATTCTTCCAACTAATTGAAAACTGGAAGGTGCCCATCAGAAACATTCGGTAAATCTTTGATACAGGTAAATCCATACCCTATATTTGTACTTCAAGACCTGTACACAAGCAAAGACAATTTATTAACAAATATAAAAATTAAGACTCAGCTCATCTATTAGCTTACCGTGTATATGGAAAAACCAAACACGTAAACATCTCAGAATTTTGTAGTCACCATGATTAAAATTTGTAATTACATCATTAAGGAGATCACGGCATCCCCAATACCCCTTTACGTGATCTTTTAAATAGTGAGGCAGATCATTGGTTAAATAGCTACCAGATAATTTAACCATGCCAATCTCAAGTCCTCTCTCATCAGGGAACTAGAAAGAACTATCGACTTTCATGCCCAAGGGCTTATTATCATCAGGTTTAAGGTTATGTTGTAATAATCGTTGATTTGCGCTTGCTTTAAGATAAATCTTACCTCTATTTTTTAAAAAAAAAGCATGTATTTTTAATATTATAAGAATGAAAGTATTAATTTGATATTAGAATCAAAAACATACGGCACGTATATAACGTGTTTAGTTGCGTTTAGGGATGGGTTTGGTTGGCTATAGTCGGCTAGCCGACCGACTATAGCCGTAGTTGATAATAGTCGACTATAGCGGCTTAGCTAACTGGCTAGCTGACACGTGATATCGGGCCAATTAAATATCATGTTTACGGGATCTTCTGTATTTTCGGGCTGATCCATGTCTATCTGTTTAAGTTTTTAATATTTTCAGGCTGATCTGTGTCGATCTGTTTATGTTTTTAAATAACCAGTTATAGTCGACTATAGTCGACTATTAGTCGATAGTCGATAATAGCTGACCGATAACTGGTCGTAACTGACCGAATCCATCTCTAGTTGCGTTTACAAGATATTGTAGTACTGGATGAATCATAAGCGATCCCAACAGTGCTTTATTCTTATTTATACTATGGAAAGTCAATGTAGTGTTGAATACATTTTTTGCACTTCAAAATTAAAATAAATTAAGAAGCATATTGTAAAAAAACAAACAATATTTCTACAAAACCATTATACTTACAACTATAATAAGACATCTGTTACAAATATCATCTCTATATCATTTTCATGGTCAAATGTGATATTATAAAGACACTTTTTATACTCATTTAACGAATTCTGTTATTGGTTAATAAAAAAAAATCAAATATATATAAATAATATTTTCATTAAGATAATTTGTACTTATGGTATCTAATAGTACTATGAAAAGATCTTCGATCTTAGTTGATAAATCATAATGCGGATAATCGACATTTGAATTTAAATAATCCCAATCCTTTTGCTCAATCCATTCTGGCTTCCTGATTTTTGATCCAATGCGTATGATTCCTAAATACGACGGGCTACATACAAGTGTACAAATTACAAGGGCTAATTTGTTAGATCAAAAGACATGAAGAAAAGAAATAAAGAATATAAAACTTGTTGTGATTTGTGTAGAATTTTAGGGCACGAATTATTATGTCAATAGATTTTCCAGAAGGCAACACCCAAAAGTCATCTGGACTATTTTTATCAGGATATTTTAAGTAACTTTGAACCGGTATCTGTTCCTCCGATAACTCAATATTTGGATCAATATCGTAGTTACTATAATCATCCTCATTATAATCTGGATCTACCTCACCATCATCTATGTTTTCTGCTCTATTGATGGATTTCGTTCGTTTTAGAACTTTGTTATTATCCTAAAGATAAAATCTTCATTAAGAATAAAACATAACACAATAAATATACAAAAAATATATACCTTTCCTTCCTGATCCCTCTTCTTCAAAGATGGCTTTGCAACTGAAACTTTGGAATTGCTGACATTCCTGACCACACTGATCATATTTCCATTTTTGATTATTTTCTTGTGGATGTTTACCTGTCTATGCGAGCGTTTATCCTCCCATTCTTTTGCTTTTTTGCGATCAGTTTGGGGACTCTAATATAGAGACTTGAAATTAATAGTCTTCCTATTCAACATCAATTTCTCATCCAACCGAAACACATCGCAACCCAAAAAGCCACTTGTGTTCCAGTGGGTTTAGTGCTAGATCGGCGAAAAGCCTTTTGCATCAGATAAGTTAACTGTGCGCCAACACTAGTTTCGTGGCTCAGTGAAAAGCCTTGAATGACCGGCGACCCAGAAAGTCTCCGTTCACACCACTTTTTTTTTTAAATAAGATATAAAAGATTTTTACTTGCCACTTTGTATCTATCAAGAAGGACTCTTGCACTTTTTTTCCTGCTACCTTATTCTGTATCAGCGATATTTTCAAGGCTTTTTATATAAAAATCTATTTTTAGGCTAAATGGTTCCTCGTCGCTCTCATTTAGAAAGTTAAGAATGTTCTAGTTTGCAGGATCTTGGTTAAAATATTCATGTATGTGACCGGGTATGATTATAAAAGAAAAACTTCAAAAAATTTTTGGTTATATTTATCAAACAATGACTGAAATCACATGACCAAAATTTTAGCAACGGCCTGTCGTCAAAATCGCTTAGTATAAGTCACATTACAAAATTTATGTGGTATGAAGTAATTGACCAAAATTGTATTAGAGTACTTCAGTACTTATTTTGGAAAAATGCCTGTGCCCCATCTCATATAAGTTATGCATAATGATAACGATAAGTCTGTAAATAAATTTTTTACATTTATATAATCTTAATTATTCGAAAATTATTACATTCACATCACTTATATATTCTATCTGCTACCTTTTTGCATGTTTTGCAATATAGGTGTGAATGGTAATTGCATTTGTCACAAACCTTACACCCACGCTTCCATCCTCTAAAGATATACCACTTTTTGATATAATTTTGTTTATCTTTACGTATGAGTATATTATTCGGATATTTTTTCATTGTTATACGTTAACAGAAAAAATATAACGTGGTCAATAATATGTGGCAATTGCACCCTCATCCACAAATAATTTATGCATAAGCCAAGATTATTTATACATAAAGAAATTTTTTTATATACCAATATAAATATTTTTGTACCATATAACTAATTTTATTTTTTATATAGAATACAAAACTTTTCTTTACGTACATAGACTGAAAATTATTACATTAAATTTAATATATAGCGCAGTAATCACGTGAGTGTGATCTTTGAGGTCATGTCCACGTGACTTATACAATTGATTCTGTTGGAGGTTTATCAGAAATTTAAGACATTACATAGTTAATTTGATCAATAGTTAATTTGGCAATTGTTAATGCACTAAAAGATTCTACTCGTCCTATCTTATCTGTTCCTACCTTACTAAATAGGTGAAAAATCTTTTGGGCTCTTTCTTTTCTTTTTCGAATAGTAGTTTCAGGAGTACCATCGGGAAGTTGTTTTTTAATTTCTTTGTTTATATCACTATTAGCATCATTTATATTATAAGATTTTTCATAATAAAACTTAAAGCATTTCGCTATGGCCATCCTGAAGTTATAGTATTGAAAAATTACTTTTTGACTTTGTTTTTGATTTTCACTTTTAGCAGAGGTAATTTTAGTATATAAATTTAGAAAATCGATAGGCTGTGGGTCATCTTCGGTAACTATTACTTGGTAAGAAGTTATTTTATTTTGTTCAGAGGTGTTAGATTTTAATTCTGTAATAAGTTTTTTTATAGTATTAGAATTTTTCTTGTCGCCTTTTTCCTTATTCTGTTTTGATTTTTTACTGGATGATTTATGTTTAGTAGTATCTTTGCTAGGTCTTTTTTGACTCTATTTTGTATTGTCTGAATAAAATAAGAAGATAGGGTTAGAAATCCGTATTGTATCTGAGGTTACTATATTCTGGCTCTGATTAGATGATATTTCTGGTGAAATTTGTATTGGGACTGGAGTACTTTGTGTTTGATTTTCTTGCGAGCTAAATTCAGAATAATCAATTAGTTCAACTTCTATTGCACACTTAAGGCATTACGGAAGATCTTTCACATAGTCCTCAAGACAACTACGGTAAAATATATGGGTGCAAGTAAGTATCGTAAATGGTTTTTTAATTTTGTACAAAAAAAGTTCTTTATTATACTTTGAGCATAGATCTAGTTCTGGAACTTCAACACCTTTTGCAATGACCTCTGAGGTACCATTCTTAAGGATATTTAAAGCAAGGCTTTTGAGACATGAAACATTTTGAGGTATTGAATTAGTAGCTATATTCAAAGGTAAAATTTTTTATAATTAAAAGTGCTAGTATACAGTATTAAGGATTATAGACAGATAAGTATTGAAATTAATTATTTGCTTATTTTTATATATTTAATATTTTAGAGACTAACAAACTTAACTTGCAGATTTTATGAAAACTAATTTCGGATTTAACAATCTGTTCATTCACAAATTAATTAGTATGAATGTAGATTACTCAATCTACTAGCAATCACGGCGATTTACAAATTAGTAATTTCTTAACTGAATGAATAAAACAATGATAATTCTATTTGAACAAAAAACCAGGTTCACTCGATCTACTATTAATTCTCAAGTTTATTGGCATTTTGATAATACCGATCTTAGGCATGTTTCATTAATGTGCTATCTGGTCGATAAAGCTATTTCCTTACTGCACGCTAAATTATTTTAGCTGAATTTATTCATTTTTTCCATAAACGATATGCTTGCTGGATGATAATAGCTGGTTGAGTTTTTATATACAAAGTTTTAAAATATGCTACTTGGGTTTTAAATTCTCTAAATTCAGAGTTATTGGCTATATATTCTCTTCTGGTTAAATTATTTTTAATACGAAATACAAAGTTTTTCCAATAGTTCTTACCTTTTATTTCATGTTCTGGTATAAATAAATGTCTACGTATATATTCGGGCTGATAATACTTTGCAAATCGTAGCCAAGCTTCTAGTGTTTTTAAATTACTAATATAGTTTAAGCTATATTCAGATAATATGTATCAGGTATAACTATTTTTTTCCCATTCCTCAAAAATATCTTGAATATTAGATATGTTTATATTTCAAATACATGGATTTTATTAACTAAGACTTTTATTCTTTTAGAATTTCATCAGTATTATTTTTTCCCAAAAGCCTGGCTTTAAAGATTTGACCCATCAAACGTGAGATCACAAAACCATTGTCTATTATTAGCATCGAATTACATATATTCAAGCTTACACTATTTTCTCACATCCACAATGAGCCCAAGAGTATTTCAGAAAATTGATCAGGCCAACCTGATCCAATAACTATGAATTCAGTGGATATGATTTTATGCTTCTTACCATCATTTAAGATAATATGTAGATTGAGCTTTCCTAATGCAGAATAAGACTTATCTAGAAACCTGTTTACTCTAGGAATACTATCATCTTTTGTGTATACTATTTTCACATTTTTTCTACTAATGTAATTTGCATTAGTGCCCATATCAACCCCAAATCGAATATCTGTAAGAATTATTCTTTTAGACCATTCAAGATTCACATCTCTTTCCCATATATAATTTACACTATAAGAATTTTTTAGATCCTGGTTTGAAAGATCCTTTATAATAAATGGTATTAATTCTGGCAAAAGTTGGTCTAGTAAATTAATTCTATATAGTTAGAAGATATTTCAATCAGAAAAAATTCTTTAGAACAACATAATGCTGATGATCTCTGCTCTGGACTAGTATTTATTGGGTAAGATTTTAACAATTGTGCCTGGTCTTTCAGACTTCCTCCTTCTAAATTTCTTTATAGGATAATACGAAAATGGTTCATTTACGTGGTCCTTCAAGGACC